ACAGCAGAACAGCATGAGAGCTTGTTTAATGAGATCATGTTCTTTGTAGTTTCAGTGATTCTCCTTTGATGTAATTCAGGTGCAGCCGTGTGACCAGCTTGTTGTGTTTGTCCAGGGCGACGCTGACACTGACACAGAGGACACAGCAGCACAATATAGGCTACACAATGAGATTCTTGGAGTTAAGGTGCAGTCACATTAGCGTTTTCATGGCAAACAAGTTCCAGTAGTGTAGCAGTAGTGTAGCGATATATACATTTACACAGAAGTCACTTTCAAACCAAGCAATTTTTTTTTTTGGTGAACGCGACAAATTCACTTAACCAACTTGAACCTGATGTGAAATCTGCATGTGGAAATATTTCATCCTCACGTGAAATTCAAGATTGTGAAACAAGTTTCGCACATTTTCAGGTTGGTCACATGAATTCAGTACGTTGAGCTGTGTGAGTGGTGGTTCTTACATCTCTAGGCTATTAAGAAGAGACAACTGACCTTTTTTTGCTTGCAAAAATTCGCTGCACTTTAATATGACCACTCCTTTATTATGATCATGTAATAGTCAACATGTAAAACTTTTGCGTTCTCTCACAAAAGTATTGTGTTGTGTATTGTATTGCGCCGCGTAAACATAAAACCATGTCTGTATTTGTGATCTGAGAAATTACAAACAATAAGCGAAACAATAATGTACATTATGTGGAAAATAATATGTTTTTTGAACCTTGAACCGCATAAACACATTGCACTAAATACACAAAATAATGTTCTTTTTAGCAGCATCATATGACCCCTTTAAGTAAAAGTATAGATATCTTACCAGAAAATGGTAGAAGTTAAAGTTACCGTTTAGAATATTACTTGAGTAAAAGTTTTAAAGTATGTGATACAGTGGGTATAGAAAAGAATCACCCCCCCACCATAAAATATATACATATATATATATTTTTTTTTTTTGCTTTGCAGCCTGAAATTAAGACAGACAGTTTTTGTTTCAACCACTGTGTGCTCAGTTTTGCTGTGTGCTTTGGGTTATTGTCATGTTGGAAGATAAACCTTCTTTCCATTGACAACTTTCTGGCAGAGGGCAGCAGATTTTCCTCAAGAATTTGACGGTATTTTGCCCCATCCATTTTTCCTTCTATCCTGACAAGTGCTCTAGTCCCTGCTGCAGAGAAACACCCAGAACAGGATATCACCACCTCCATGCTTTACTGGAGGAATGCTGTTATTTGGATGGTGAGCTGTATTGGATTTCCGCCAGACATATTGTTTGGTGCTGAGGCCAAATAATCCAGTTTTAGTCTCATCTGCCTCAGAATCTTCTTGGTGTGTTTTGGCAAAGCTCAGTCTGACTGCATGTTGCCTTTCTTGAGGAGTGGCTTTTTTCTTACAACCCTCCCATACAAGCCACATTTGTTATATTGTTGTCACATGCACACAATGACCACTCTTTGTCATAAATTCCTGCAACTGCTTCAGAGTTGCAGTAGCCTCTTGTTCGCCTCTCTGACCAGTTTCCTCCTGGAAACATCCTGATCCAGGGAGGGTCTGTGTGTTGTACCAAATACCTTCCACTTCTTAATAATAGACTTCA